AATGAATCTGAAATATATGAAAGTTTCATTTTTATCATTACATTATGAAAAATAATTACATTTATCACAATATGCTAATTTTTTGAGAAGGACCTGTATAAGCTCAGGAGCTAACGAAAATCTGAATCATTTCTCTATTCTCCTCTCTGCCAACACTATCCAGTTCAAATTAAAGGGCTGAAAATGAGATAATATCAAAATGAACATTTACAGTATGTTGAATGGCATTTGCACCGGAGCAACCTGTCAAAATGTCATTTACCCAGAAGGCATTGCAGCATAAATAAAATGACAACATTTGTGTATCATTAATATTTAAAAACATATAAAAGCTAAACAACCGGTCTCGTTTTTATAACTGAAGTAATCCTAGATTAAATTAAAGCTGCAAGCAGCGTTGAAGGCCCTCGCAGCGAAGCGCCGCTGCGGCCTCATGGCGACCGCGGGAACTCCAGCGATTCTTCCCGGTCGCCATCGAGAACGCTCACGCTACTGTCACGCGCCCGTTTTCACGAGTGCACATTCGCCGAACCTTTCACATAAGCTGCGACCGCATATATAACTATTGTAATAATGTAGGGGGCGCACTTGAGTCAAATATTAAACAATAACACCACTGTGTCCATAAGTCTTGACTAGTCAAGCACCAAAAATCTGGTGCAGATCGGACAATATATAACTAAGATATAACAGTTTGATTTATGTAGGGGGCGCACTTGAGTCAAATATTAAACAACATCACCACTGTGTCCATAAGTCCTGACTAGTCAAGCACCAAAAATCTGGTGCAGATCGGACGATATATCGCTGAGATATAACAGTTTGATTTATCTAGGGGGCGCACTTGAGTCAAATATTAAACAAAAACACCACTGTGTCCATAAGTCCTCACTAGTCAAGGACCAAAAATCTGGTGCAGATGGGACGATATATCGCTGAGATATAACAGTTTGATTAACCTAGGGGGCGCACTTGAGTCAAAAGTAAAACAACAATACCATTGCGTGTTTAAGTGCTCACTTATCACACACCAAAAATATGGTCCACATCGGATGACATATCACTGAGATATAACAGTTTGAATAATCTAGGGGGCGCACTTGAGTCAAATTTTAAACAACACTAACAATGTGTTTAGACATGGTCACACATTATGCCATAAAAATCTGGTGCAGATCGGATGATATATCATTGAGATATAAGGGTTGGAATATTATAGGGGGTGCTCTTGAGTCAAAAGTTAAAAAACATTACTAATGTGTCCATCAGGGCTACATAATAATATACCAAAAATTTGGTGCAGATCGGATGATATATCATTGAGATATAACTGTTGCAAGATTGTAGGGGGCGCTATAGAGTCAAAATTTAAAAAACTATACTACTGTGTCCACCAGGGCTAAATAATAATACACCATAAATTTGGTGCAGATCGGCTGATATATCACTGAGACAAAACAGTTTGAATAATGTAGGGGGCGCCCTTGAATCAAATATTAAACAACAAAACTAAAATGTCCATCAGTTCTCAGTAATGACGCACCAAAAATCTGGTTCAGATCGGATGTTGTATCACTGAGATATAACTGTAAGAAGAATGTAGGTGGCGCTGTGGAGGCTCTTGGCCACTTATCATGGAAACCTGTTCAGAGGTGGATAATGATCAATCATAGTGATTTTGGTTCATCTGGGTTCAAATCTGTGCAATTTAGAGCCAAACGTATTGCAACGGCGTCACTTTTTAATTCGCCATGGCGCCACGCCCACATTCTCCAGCTATAACTGTTTTGTTGTTTAAATCAAGTCAGACCATCTTATCTGTCTTCTAACACAGGATCATCCTGATTATGTGAAGGGTGTCAAAGAAGGACCATTCCAAGCCAAAAAAGTCACTTCCTGTTCTGAGGGGGCGGGGCTTTGATGACGTCACAATATGACCTCAGGGTATCGTCGGGCATGGGACAGGGATGACTCATGCCAAATTTGGTGCAAATCTGTCATTCAAGTTGAAAGTTATAACGTTTGGAAATTTATGGCGTGAAGCTCAACTTTGAGGCCTGGCCACGCCCCTTTAACAAAACGAAACCGAAAGCTTTTGATAACTTTTACTCTCCAATGTCTTAAGGGCCTAATAACCAAGTTTTAAGTCAATCCTTCAAAATCCCTAGGAGGAGTTCGTTAAAATTCGCCGTTAAAAACGCCCAAAAATTAACATTTGACCCAAAATGGCCGACTTCCTGTTGGTTTTGGACCGGAGCGCCAAGAGACTTTTTCATAGGTCCTGAGAAGATACACATGTTCACCGAGTTTCAGATTTATCGGTCGAAAAATGGCTCGGGGCTGAGGTTTTAAAATATTCTAGGGGGCGCTAGAGAGGCTATTGCGCAATCATCATGGTTTCCTGTTCAAGGGGCGGGCAATGATCGATCATAGTGATTTTCATGAACCTCGGATCAAATCTGTGGAATTCAGAGCCAAACGTATTGTAACGGCGTCACTTCTGACTTCGCCACGCCGCCACGCCCACATCCTCCAGGGGAAACGCTTTGCGCTTCAAAGCAAGTCAGACCAACTTGTTATCTGCCTTCTAACACAGGATCATCCTGATTGGGTCAAGAGTGTCAGGGAGGGAGCATTCCAAGCAAAAAAAGTAACTTCCTGTTCTGAGGGGGCGGGGCTTTGATGACGTCAAAATTTGACCTCAGGGTATCGTCGGGCATGGGACAGGGGGGACAGGGATGACTCGTGCCAAATTTGGTACAATTCTGTTTTTCAATGTGAAAGTTGTAGCGTTTGGAAATTTTTGGCGTGAAGCTCAACTTTGAGGCCTGGCCCCGCCCCCTCAACATGTGTCGATTTGCACCGTTTTGATAACTTTAGGTCCCCCATGCCTACTGAGCAAAATGGCGAAAGTTTGAAACCGATTGAGCGAAATCCCTAGGAGGAGTTCGTTCAAATTTGCCGTGTACGAAAAGTGAAAAACGGCCAAAATTGACCCTTTGACCCAAAATGGCCGACTTCCTGTTGGGTTTAAGGCATACCTCCAAGAGACTTTTTTTCATGATTCAGTGGGTTGTACATGTGTACCAAATTTCAGCTCTCTAGGTCTTACCAGTTGTCATATCTCACGTTAGGGGGCGCTGTGGAGCAGTTTGGCCACGCCCACTTTTGGTTCCATTAAATACCTCAAATTTCTCGCGGGGGACAATTTTGGGTCAAATATGGTGAGTTTTCGAATATGTTAAGGCCTCCAAATTAGCGCTCTTTGACGGAAAAAAATTTGAAACGACACAATAACAATAGGCCTTCGCAGCGCTTAGCTGCTCGGGCCTAATAAAGTCTATTGACGCAGTTAGTCTAAGACAAAAGGCTCAGTGCTCAGTTCTTACACCATCACATTATCAGAACAGTTCAAACTTCTTTTGCTCTCAGTGTGAAGTTTCAGCTCAACCTAAACAATCTAAATGTTTCCAGAACTAAACTCAAAGAAGATCCAGGACACATGCTTGAAGTTGGACTGACCATCGATTGTTCTGATACGGAAACTACACACCAACTCATATGTGACTGATATTATCCCTCCTGCAAGTCCTGCTCATTCTGCAACCTGATTCTGTGCATGTTCAGACTCACCAACCCCGAGCATGTGGACAGAGCCACCGAGGAGTTGACCCCTGACCTCAGCGACCCCTGGTAAAAGCAGTGGTCGTCCTGGTGGTAGGCCCTCAGGCTTTTGGTGCTGTTCTTTCCCAAGACCTGGATTGTAAAACCAGGTGCCATCAGGCTCTCTGACGCCTCCCTCAGCTCCATGTGGAAGTCCTGACCCAAGCCCCAGAGCCGGAAGTGGACCGTTGCACTGCTGCTGCCGGTGTCTGATGAGCCTGGAATCAGGGATCTACGTCTTCTGCGTTTGTGGTGCTCGATTTCATGAGAGATGTACGCACCTTGGTGGTTGACTTCATACGGAGTTACAATTTCAAATTCTAGAAGAATAGAATGACAAGGACAAAATGAACACAAGTTGTGTTAGAACACAGCCAACTAAAAGTACTGATTTTCACACAAGTCAAAACAGCAGGACTGCATGAAGGAAAAATGTGATTCTTGTCAAACCTTTGCTTTGTGGTGGCCACAAATGTCTTGAAACCAGCACAATACTTACACTTTCACAACTTTTATTTAAAAATTGCAATGTTTCTTGCAACTGTTGATGTAAATCTTTTGTGCATCAATAGCTTAAACTGCACTTTTTTCTTGAGTGCTCACGAGTCTTGCAGGAATTAAAGGCTAATGCAGCGAAAAGAGCAGCTTCAGCCTCAGGATGTCTGAGTTCCCTTAAATGAACCTCTTGATTTAAGTTCTTCCACAATAATCATATTTGTTTCAGGATATTGATCCTGATGACCTGATGACATACCAGTGAAGGTTTGGAAATGCCTTGGAGAGATGGCAGTGAGGTTTTTGACTCAAATCTCAAATATTCAATGGCATATTTGAGAGTGAGAAAATGCCTGTGGAATGGAGAAGAAGTGTGCTGGTGCCCATTTATAAGAACAAGGGTGATGTACAGAGTAGTAGCAACTACAAGGGAATTACATTGGTGGGCCACATGATGAAGATCTGGGAAAGTTGTGGAAGCTAGACTTAGATGAGAGATGACTATTTGTGAGCAGCAGTACAGTTTCATACCAAGACAGAGAACCACAAATACCATCTTTGCTTTGAGGATGCTGATGGAGAAGTACAGGGAGAACTTCATTGTGTCTTTGTGGATTTAGAAAAAGCATATGACAGAGTGCTGAGGGAGGAGGTGTGGTATTGCATGGGGAAATCTGGAGTATGTTAGACTGGTACAGGACATGTATGAGGACAGCAGGACAGTGGTGAGATGTGCTGTAGGAGTGACAGATAGCTTCAAGGTGGAGGTGGGAGTGCATCAAGGATCAGCTCTGAGCCCCTTCTTGTTTGCTCTGGTGATGGACCGACTAACAGATGAGGTCAGACAGGAATCCCCGTGAACTATGATTTTTGCAGATGACATTGTGATCTGTGTTGAGAACAGGGAACAGGTGGAATAAAACTTGGAGAGGTGGAAGTATGCACTTGAAAGAAGAGGAATGAAAGTCAGCCATAATAAGACAGAGTACGTGTGTGTGAATGAGAGGGAGGCCGGTGGAACAGTGAGGCTACAAGGAGCAGAGGTCACAGAGGTGCAGGACTTCAAGTACTTGGGGTCCACTGTCCAGGAAAATGGGGAATGTAGTAAAGAAGTGAAGAAGAGAGTCCAGGCAGGATGGAGTGGATGGATAAAAGTTCTGGAGTGATTTGCAACCAAAGGGTGTCAGCAAAGGTCAAATGAAAGGTTTACAAGACAGTGGTGAGACCAGCTATATTGTATGGTCTGGAGACAGATACATTGATAAAAAGAAAGAAAAAAGAACTGGAAGTGGCAGAAATGAAGATGCTGAGGTTCTCCTTAGGAGTAACCCGGATGGATAACACCAGGAATGAAGTCATAAAAGGTACAACACTGGTTGAACGACTATGAGATAAAGTTAGAGAGGCCGGACTGAGATGGTTTGGACATGTCCAGAGGAGGGACAGTGGTTTGGACATGTCCAGAGGAGGGACAGTGGGTATATTGGTAGAAGGATGTTAGAAATGCAGCTGCCAGGAGAAAGACAAAGAGGAGATATATGGATGCAGTTAGAGAGGACATGGAAGTAGTTGGAGTGAGGACAGAGGATGCAGAGGACAGAGTGAGACAGGGGAGAATGACTCGCTGTGGAGACCCCTGAAGAGGGAAAAGCCGAAAGAAGAAGTTTCAGGATATTGATCCAATCTAGATCTATATTTATGTCATTGCTAAATTGTTCCGAGTTCAAACGACATGTTCTTGGAAATGTTATCTTCTATGATTTACTTATTTTTGCTTTATTCTCTAAACCAGATGTTGTTGTTGTTTTAAACTTAAAAGTTTAATTCAGAATTTGTTACTGCATTCATCATGATGATGATGATGATGATGATGATGATGATGATGATGATGATGATGAAAAAGTCATGCCCAAATAATTCTATCTTTCAAACGTTTTCTTATCTAATTAACCTAATAATACCAATAATTAGTTTAAGGTCTTGAAGTATTTAACTAATTTTTCTTAGTTCTCTTTGTGCACATGGAAATACTTTTTATTTAATAATTTAATTAAATATTTCTTTTTAAACATGTTAAATTGTTTTAATAGTAGTTCAGATTCAGCACTATTCTTCTGGGTTTTGAGTTGTTCTTTCTCTAATTTTAGTGGTTTCAGCGTTCTTCCCTGTTCCATTTTTGCTCCCTGCAGAGAAATAATTTGATCCTTCTCTAAACATCTTTTGAACATCTTTTCAAGTCAACACAATGTGCCTTTTCAAATGAGGACCACTCTCTGCATTAGTCAGAGTTCATTAGCGTGTTACATCTAAATTAATCACTGCAGTCTTTTCCTTTATGGCCGGCTGTGTTGACACATTTAAACTGAATAGGTGACATTTTTGGGCCGTGCAGAAATACTTTGTAAAAGGCACACTCTGCATCCTGTGTCCTCACATCCATACTCAATCTTTTCTTGTTTAAATGTTTATAGGATGGGGAGGATGATAAAAGAAAAACAGACAATATTTTATTTTTTAATGCAAATCTACAGAAATAAATCCAACATGCTGTTCTTGTGGTCAAACTGAACTTATTTGATGCTTTAAAATTATTTATTACAGTATACTAAATTATTGCACTGTTTGCTTGGATTCATCACATCCAAAATAAAAATATAGCTTTCTTTTCCTTTCTGAAGTTGATCTGACTCATATTTGTCGGACAGGTCAATATACAATTGCAGGAAATGGAAGGACTCTACATGATGGCAGCAGGTCTGTTTGTGGAGAGATGATTATGTTTGATTTAGTGATGTTCTGCATTACAATCTGGAGAACTGCAGGTCTTTAGATGGTGGCAGGTCACCAGCCTACTTGTTCATTTAATCTCATAGTGGCACTTTGGCCAGAAAGACTATTGTGTTTTTTTTATCTAAATGAGAATTTTAGGAAAAATTATGTCACTTCTTCTTTTCTTGTTCACCTCATAGTTTAAAATTAACCCAACCTAGAAAGATGCTTCAGAATTAAACATGTGGTCTCTTTAAACCCAACATGTAAGATGTTAGAGGTTGTGCATCTTATATAAATAGTGTTAAAATACTCATAATGTCCTCAGTGGTCCTCCTATTATTAGCACAGGTTGTGTGGTATTGGAACTCCTCTGTCTTTCAATAAGTTAGGTCATGTTTGGTCTCTTTTTCCAAGTTAGTATTATTAGAAATCTTGAACGCATGCAGCCTCAGCTGACCTGCTCTAATAAGGAGTAAATATAGCACAGACACATGGCTCTGCTGTGAGAGGAGACTGGCAGACAGTGTGTCATCTCTGGCAGCGTGAACTCAGTCGTGTGCTGACATAAAGCCCCTGTCCAAACATGAAATGCTCATTAACACATGGATTTATTTAAAGTGCCTTGTTTTACAGCAAGGGGGTCCTGCAGCCTTAAAAGTGTCTCCAGAGGGGAGGGTTTAAGAGCTTGACAGCAAAGATTTAACGTAAAGACACAGACACACACGTCCAGTGGATTGTCCCACTTCAGTCCAAACCAAAAAAAAACAAAACCCATCTGCACTGACCCATGATGGACATTATACAAAGAGTCTGCGGGAAGAGATCACACACACCCACACATTTTGTCTGCTGATGTTTACTGAACCAAGACAGGACTCTGCAGTTAGTTTGTTAGTTTTGTGGCTGCCGCTTGTACAGCTCAAACAGCGGACACTTTGGTATGAAGGTGATGTCAGATTAAACACTGAATCTACTTAATCTTAATCCCCATCCTCAATTCAAACTCTCCACACGACCATTTAAACATCAAAAAACACTGAAACAAAAAGGTGAAACGTCCTAACTGTGGGGGGCAAACTCTTCATTTCTGTACAGCATTAGTAGAAATGCCAGAGAAAATTATTTGTCTTTGTGTGTGTGTGTGTGTGTGTGTGTGTGTGTGTGTGTGTGTTTCATTTGTTAAAGTGAGCTCTTCATAGTAACAACAACAGAAACGGTGTGTGGAGGAGAACGCACAGAAGACAAACTGCTCACTCAGCACTTGGATCCAAAACAAAGAACAAGTGAGCGTCTGGACTCTCTGAACTTCTTTTTTTTCCCCATTAATAATTGATTGAACAGGCATCAGCGCATCATCACTGATGACTTTCTGTTAAATGTTAATAATAAAAGGTTTGACATATATTTAATAACCACAAGGTTTGTTTTATACTCATTTTAAAGTGTTCAATGAATACTAATAATCGGTGTTTCTCTCATTATTTTATTTTTATTTATTTTTTCTTTTTGTTCTGGATTCCAGTCATAAATTTGTTGCTGCTCATAAATTTTGTGTCATGTTGTGTGTCGCCCTCTGGTGGTGAAAACAGGTACTGCACACAGCACAGGTGAGCGCTGTTTGATGCTGCGGCTCCGTGATGCGTGATGAGCGCAAACAAGCCTCATTATAAACCTGTAGATAACCGTGCAGCTCATCATCCCACTGAACACATGCAGCTTTAAAGCTTGAAATAAAACAAGTAAAAAGACATTTATCAAAGCAGAGTGTTACCTGTGTGCTGTGGTAACCTGAGAGAGAGGAGGAGAGCCGACGCGCCTGCTTCAGGACCGTCGGCACCAGGTTCCCTCTGAATAAAAAGAAGAACGTTAGTTAGTGTTATACCGTGGGAACACCTGGGACAGGTACCTGAGGACTTACTTTGCTCGCAGTGACGGAGCTGAAGACGTGCAGCAAGACCAACAGCCGCGTCCAGTTTCTCCGCTGAGCGCGCAAAAAGCGCAGCAGAGCCATGACTGCGGGACAGCTGAAGCCAAAATCAGAACCAGAGGGACTCCCCAGCAGCTTAACAGGAGAAGTCCGGACCAGCAGAGAAGTCCGGACCAGCAGAGAAGTCCGGACCAGCAGCAGCTCAGCATCAACGAGCTTCAGCTGCGGGCTTCTTCATTCACACTTTGGTTCCATCCGTGTCCAATAAAGTTCCTGAACTCCTCTCCTCTGTCCCTGCAAGGCATGTTCTCCCCCCTCACACACACTCAGAGAACCAAGCACAATCTGCCTCCCCCCCCCCCCCCCCCCCTCACCACCACTCCCTGTCTGTCTACCCAGTGACCCCCGCCGACCACTTTGACTCCCAGTGAAGTCATGTGATTGTCTCAAACTGGCTGTGGGTCGTCTTCACAAGAACAGAATCAAGTCGCCCTGAGTCTGTTTCTGCAGGGGGAGGGCTTGTCTTCTCCGAGGGGGCCCTGGATGTTACACTGAGTGAGTGACTGCTGGGGGGAGCCAATCCCATCTACCACCTGTGTTTGGATGGATCCATTCAGCCTGTGGTCCTAGAAGACAAAGGAGGAGGTGGAGGTGGGAACAGCCAAAAAGAAACAGAAAGACTCTTTTAGTCCATAAACTCTGAAAAAGTTAAAAATATTTTTACATCCAGACAAACAGAATACCAGGACAAGCAAGTTATTGTCATGTTAAATTGTGCAAAAGCATTTAAAAATGCAATAAAGCTTTTCAGTGTGTATTAGTTCTGAGTATTATTCTATCTAATCGACACTCAAAGCACTTTACAATCTGTGCCCTCATTTACTCATTCATACAGCACTCTACTTTACATAATAATCAGTGCTTTATCACATTCATACACAGATGAGACACACACCAAAGTCAGTAAGGAGGTTCAGTGTCATGCCCAGGGACACTTCAACATGTGACTGCTGGTGGAATTGAACCGCCAACTCTTGCATTGGAGGACGACTGCAGTCACAGCCACCCGGACCAAAAAATGTGATTAGATACTAAGTATTTAAGCAACATGCCCTCAGTATTCATGCCATTTGGCTGTGGAAGCTCAGTGGTCAGTGTCACAATATTGTAATCCTGAGGTCACCGGTTTGAGCACAGGAACTGCATCCAGCGTCAAACTGTTCTCAAATCTTTCATGAGAGTTCACTCGCTGTGGTGACTCCTGCAGAACAGAGCAGCTGAAAAACAACAACAACAGCAAAACACATTCATGCCATTTATTTCCAAAAGAGGTTTATGAAGTTCCATTTAGAGATAACAGGGTGGTTCACCACAGAGATTTGTAAATGTGAAAGTCCTTTTGAAGTAAAAATTAAAAATGTTTTAGTATTTTGTGAAAAACTGCATGCAAATAATGAAATCTTTGAATATGATTGAACTTACACTGTTATGAAAAACAAGTTTCATGAAATCATACTCAAAACCCAACATTTCACAAGAGTCATAAATGTTTTGTCTGACAAAATAATAATTAAAAAAAGTTATAAAATGGATGTGCTCAAGTTGCAGACAGAGCCAAATCAATGACATAATTGAAGCTTTACAAAAGAAAATGGCTGAGGTAGCAGCAAACAGAAATGTGACTACAACCTAAACTCAGTGCAGCACCTGATGCTGAGACAGTCCAATCTGCAGAACATGTGAACATAAGCAGGGTCAGGCCTTTACTGGACTCATGAACAGGTGAGCTAATGAGCAGATGGGGTGCAGCTGTGCAGTATAGAAAAAAAACTAAATTATGGGAAACCAAGTTAACAATTACTTTTGTAGAACATACAGTGTAAATGATCACCTGCCATATACTCTCCAGTACAACAGGTGGCAGTATGTACCTTGAGTTGGTGTTGCAAACACAAATAAGATCAAAAGGCAAAGTGTTAATCTACGATTATCTTCTGATAGCAAAGGAAGGAGTTATAGCTGTGTCGGTTGTAGTGAACTCGGCCTCCGACCAAAACCTGCCTCTGGGGACCCTCATGGGACAGGAACTGTTATTTCATTAATTTGAATCCAGAAATACAAATTAGCTCATCCAGAGACTTTCTAATTGTATCCTGAAGTAATCAATTGAAAGAACACTCTTCTTTTATATTATCATTACTATTTTATAATATCTTGATAAATCAAAAGTGTGTTTAGTTCATACCCTTTCTAAATGTTGAAGTGAACCACTCATTTTAAATCAACTGTGAAACAGTATTAATGATTTTTTAATCCTCATTTAAATTAGAAATCAAGTTAAATGTCTATTTACAAAGTAATTATGCATTTTGATCTACTGTCTGAAATGAGAAGTAGTGATGTCGGTCGAAAGTCAGAAAGAAGTTATTAGAACGAAGTGTCTTGTTTTTAAACCTAGCAGACAGTAAATAAGAAGCTACTGGCATATGCTTCTTCTCACTTCGCCATAACATGTCTTCTGTCTGTACGGGACGTTTCTAAAACATTCCTGCTGTGTTCTTGACTTGTAATGACCCTCTGACATCACTAGAACCACCCCCTGTTGGTTGTTTCAACCAATCAGGAAGTCCTGAAGTGACCGGAAGTGAGAACTCTTTAAGAGTCCACACTTCCTGGAACTTCTAGGTCAACTGGGTCTGTCTTGATTCAGTCAAAGTCAGTCTTCAGTCTTCAGTCTTCTGAGTCGAGTTGGGACTATGGAGTCTTCCACATCTGAGTGGAACCTCTGACGGAGTCACAGCGCCTCGCTGTGAACCCTCCCGGGCATAATGCCCTACAACCTCGAAGGAAGCTGGTTCTGTTTAACAGAGTAACCTGCACGACTCCTGTTCCTGCCCAGCCACTGCCCGGAGACGCTGTAAAAGGATCATACTAATGGACTCCTGTTCCTGAGCGGAGGTATCCCCGTCTAAGGTAATGAAGTCTCTGCACGTCCTGAAGTGTACCGGAGAGTTGAGCTGGTGTTGAAGGGAGCGTGCCATTCTGCGGTCTGAACAGACACACCCTTTCCTTCATCCATCTAAATCCTCCTCTTTAAACCTCTAAATCTCTCCTCTTGTAAACTCTCCTATATTGCCAGTAATTAATCTAGATGCCTTCAGAAATGTCTGTTGTTTTTATTAAGTAAAACGTGCCAAGTTTTATTAATCAGAACCAGATCAGCTAATCACTTGTACATTTTAATGCAGAGACTAATTTCGCCATTGTATGGAAACATACAGTGCTGCCATTGTGATGACATTATTATTATTATTATTTTGATGTTAAATTTTGATTCTGTTAAATAAATGACCACATTTATTCTGATAGGTCAAAGAAAATTAACGTCTCAGTGTCACTGATTAAACAATCTACGCACAGTTACCTTGGTTACATGGCGGTAATTTAGCTTGAAAAAGAGAGAACCCATTATTTAAATATATTGTAGTCAAGGGCAGCTAACCTAGCCCTTAGCATGCTACACGGTTAAAGTTTGTGAATAACATTATGTGTAATCTCATTGTTAAATCTCCCAAAATCTGTTAGCACTCAGAATATGTATTGAGGGTGTCCTTTTACCAAGTTCAGAGTACCAAAGACTGAAAATATTCACAGGAGGTAACAAGGTGGTATGTGACTTAATTTACAAGGTAGCCAGGGAACCTCACAGGAAATGATTTGCAGGACAGAAGAAGGTGAGTAATTTGGATAACCTTGGTGGTTTTATTGGTCTAAAATTATCTGAAAAGTTCTTACTGGTGTGTTCTACATAGGTTCAGAGAGGGAGATCAACAGAATTCCAGGGTTGTGGTCAGAGAGAGGAGGGCAGGCAGTAGGCCTGATCTGTTCTTCATCATAGGGTTGGTGTTCAGTAGACTGGGTGGGAGATGATCCCACCAGAGCTGGGTCTGATGAAGAACAGAGAACTGGTGGTTCAATGAGCTTACAAGGAAGACTCGAGGGCACCAGTAAAAATGAACATTAGACAACAAAATCTTTGCATGGCTTTCTTAAGGAATTGAACAAAGGGTTGTATGTTGACGCCACCATGTGGCAACCAAGGGTCCAACCAAGACTCATGGTCCACCCAGGAATCAGCACCTCACACTCTCACACCACCCACTTTTACATTGCCCATTCTCACACCACCCACTCTTGCATTGCCCATTCTCACACCACCCACTCTTGCATTACCCACTCTCACACCACCCACTCTTGCATTACCCACTCTCACACAACCCACTTTTGCATTGCCCATTCTCACACCACCCACTCTTGCATTGCCCACTCTCACACCACCCACTCTTGCATCGCCCACTCTCACACCACCCACTCTTGCATTACCCACTCTCACACCACCCACTTTTGCATTGCCCGCTCTCACACCACGCACCTTTGCATTGCCCACACTCACACCACTCACTCTTGCATTGCTCATTCTCACACCACCCAGCTGTGCATTGCCCACTCTCACACCACCCACCTTTGCATTGCCCACTCTCACACCACGCACTCTTGCATTGCTCACTCTCAAACAAGCTGCAGGAGATGGTTAGTGGGAGAACAACAGCAGAAACATGAATCCTAAGAGAGGATGACACTTGGCTACTACCACACCAATATTTTAGGTCAATATCTTTAAGTTTGGCTGAGTTCAATTAGCAAAAGTGGCCAACTTCAATTGATTATTATTGTTTGAATTAATTGTTTAGAAAAAAGGGGCAGATATAATAATATTATTTTCTTCCTTCTGCTGCCTTTCATTTTTATTTTTGATTGTATTTGTTTTTTTTATGGAATTGTTTTTGTTTGTTTTAAAATCAATACTTTATGAATAAAAAAATAAAAAAATAAAAACCCCCCCCCCCCCCCGCACACACACACACACACTGTCAATATACACATTTTTTTTAGTGTTTTTGATTGAAAATTCAAATATTCAGTAACAATGCACCTTTAATGACCAAAATCTACTGCGTACATTTTAACAAATGAGAAAAATGAGCAGAGTCGTGTTTTGTTGCCTGTAATTACAAATCATTTGT